GAAATTTTGGAGGTTTTGGGCCCGGTATCGAAAATCTTTGGAATTCTAGGGAATACATCTTGGGGTCATATAATGTCGTTTGGAACAATATGATCACTATTTGTTGTCATAAATGTTCGTGGTAAACTTGAGTTAATGAAATCAGTGCAAGTTGAAAATCGGTAAATTGGCCGTTTAAAAGCAAATTGGATGGTTCCACCCACCCAATTGGACTACCGAGGGTATTAGGGACCATGGTAAACATTTCGGAAATTTTTATTTTCTGGCGAGAAAAGGTCAAAATTTTCCAAAATGGAAGAGTAATGTACACGCTTTTTGAGAAATTTTGGAGGTTTCGGAACCCAATATCGCAAAGTCTTGAGAATTTTTGAAATACATCTGGGGGTCATATGATGCCGTTTGAAACCATATATGATCATTATATGTTGTCGTAGATGTTAGTGGTAGCGTTGAGTTAATGAAATCGGAGCAAGTTGTAAACCGGTAAATTGGTCGTTGAAAGGCAAATTGGATGGTTCCACCCTCCCCAATTGGACTCCCAGAGGGTATTTGGGACTATGTAAACATTTCGGCAATTTTTATTTTCGAGCGAAAAAAAGTAAAAAAAATTCCATAAGTAAAGGCAAGATCCATGCTTTTTGAGAAATTTTGAAGGTTTCGAGGCCCGGTGTCGAAAAGTCTTGAAATTTTAGGTGATACATCTCGGGGTCATATAATGCCATTTGAGACCATTTATGATCATTATATGTTGTCATAAATGTTCGTGGTAGGCATGATTTAATGAAATCGGTGCAAGTTGTAAACTGGTAAATTGGTCGTTTAAAGGCAAATAGAATGGATACACCCACCCAATTCGACTCCCAAAGGGTATTAGGGACCATAGTTAAAATTTTGGCAATTTTTATTTCTTGGCAAAAAAAAAGTCAAAAAATTCCAAAATTAAAGGCTTATATCCATGCTTTTTAAGAAATTTTTGAGGTTGGGTACGGTTTCGAAAAACCTTGAGATTTTAGGGAATACATCCTCCCGAGGTCATATAATGTCGTTTGGAATCATATATGATCATTATATGTTATCATAAATGTTCGTGGTAAGATTGAGTTAATGAAATCAGTGCAAGTTGTAAACCGGTAAATAAGCCATTTAAAAGCAAATTGAATGGTTCCACCCACCCAATTGGACACATGGAGTGTATTAGTTACCATGGTAAACATTTCGGCAATTTTTATTTACGGGCGAAAAAAAAGTCGAAAAAAATTCAAAATTTGAAGGCTAATTTCCACGCTTTTTGATAAATTATGGAGTTTTCAGGGCCCGGTTTTAAAAGTCTTGAAATTCTAGGGAGACAACTCAGGGTCATATAATGTCGTTTGGAACCATATGTGATCATTATTTGTTGTCATAAATGTTTGTTGTAGACTTGAGTTAATGAAATCATTGCAAGTTGTAAACCAGTAAATTAGTCGTTTAAAGGCAAATTGGATGTTTCCACCACCCAATTGGACTCCTAGAAGGTAGTAGGGACCATGGTTAACATTTCAGCAATTTTTGTTTCCGGGCAAAGAAAAGTCAATAAATTCCTAAATTAAAAGCTAATATCCACGCTTTTTGAGAAATTTCAAATTTTGGACCAGGTGTCGAAAAGAAATGAGATTTTATTAGATACATCGCGGGGTCATATAATGACATTTGAAACCATAAGTAAATGACCATAATAAGTAGTCATAAATGTTCGTGGTACGCTTGAATTGATGAAATAAGTGCAAGTTGTAAACTGGTAAATTGGTCGTTTAATTGCAAATTGGATGGTTCCACCCACCTAATTGGACTATCGAAGGGTATTAAGAACCATGGTAAAAATTCCGGCAATTTTTATTTTCAGGCGAAAAAAAGTCAAAAAATTCCAAAATTGAAGTTAACATATCCACGCTTTTTGAGAAATTTTTGAGGTTTCGGGGTCTGGTTTCGAAAAGCTTTGAGATTTTAGGGAATACATCTCGGGTCATATAATACTGTTTTAAATCATAAATGAACATTATATGTTGTCATAAATGTTCATGGTAGGCTTGAGTTAATGAAATTGGTGTAAGTTGTAAACCGGTAAATTCACCATTTAAATGCAAATTGGATGGTTTCACCCTATTAATTTGACTCTCGGAGGCCGGGTATTAGGGACCGTGGTAAACATTTCGGCAATTTTTATTTACAAGCGAAAAAAAAGTCAAAAAATTCCAAAATTTAAGGCTAATATCCACGCTTTTTGAGAAATTCTAGAGGTTTCGAGGCTCGGAGTCGAAAATCCTTGAGATGTTAGAGAATACAACTCGCGGTCATATAATGCCATTTTGAACCACATATGGTCATTATATATTTTCATTAATGTTCATGGTAAGCTTGAGTTAATGAAATTAGTGCAAATTGTAAATCGGTAAATTGGCCGTTGAAAGGGAATTTGGATGATTCCACCCACCCCAATAAGACTCCCGGACGGTATTAGGGACCATGGTAAACATTTCGACAATTTTTATTTTCGGGCGAAAAAAAAAATCAAAAATTTCAAAATTGAAGGCTAATATCCACGCTGTTGGAGAAATTTTGGAGGATTCAGGGCCCGATGTCTAAAAGTCTTGAAATTCTAAGGGATATATCTCGGGGTCATTTAATGTCGTTTGTAACCATATATGATCATTATTTGTTGTCATAAATGTTCGTGGTAGGCTTGAATTAATGAAATCGGTGCAAGTTGTAAATCGGTAAATTGGTCGTTTAAAGGCAAATTGGATGGTTCTACCAACCCGATTGGACTCCCGGAGGTTATAAGGGACCAAGGTAAACATTTCGACATTTTTTATTATCGGGCGAAAAAATACCAAAAAATTTCTAAATTGAAGACTAATATCCACGCTTTTACAGAAGTTTTGTAGGTTTTAAGGCCAAGTGTAGAAAAGTATTAATATTTTAGGGGATACATCGATCTCGGGGTCATATAATGTAACACCCCCAAAATTCGAGTCTTTAAAAACAATAAGAGTAACCTTTAACTTTCAAAAACCCAACCATCGAACTCTGGGAATGTTACTGCTACACTTATTTTCCGTAGAAAATAAATGCAAGCAAAAATAACATAATATTTAAAATAACTAAGTGGTCTAAGTTGTGGCAAAATAAAATAGTCATTACGTTAAAACTGCAATTATTTGAAACCAATAATTGAGAGGAAATAATTAAATTCGGGGATAAACTAAATTGTCTTAGCTACGTGATTATTCTAACGTCTCCTCACACGTAACCGAGTACCCTTTTTACCAACCTGAAAAATAAATCAGAAACAAGAAAAGAGAGAAAACTCCCAAAAATAAGATAAACTGAGTAATTCCAACTCCATCCCGTAAAATAAATAAATTTTAGTTCAAAACAGTTTATACATAATATAGTCTCATAAATATTTTAATACTCAACCAAGTTCAAATAGTCACATAACATATTATTAGTTTATTTAAGAAAGGGAAAGAGAACGCCAGTAAGCCGGGACTAGTCCCTGTCACCACCTACTTTAAAGAGGGTCGCGCGTAACCCCAATTGGCCATAAAATAAAACAGAATATCCTTAGTGTGCACACCCCTCACTAATACCCAGTGATTAGGAGGAAGACTAACAGCAATATACAATAAACTAAACCAACTAGTAGCAACCATAACTACTAGTGGGCAACCTGTTCTTTAACCTTTCGGGTTTCATTTCCCTTCTTAAGTTAAATTTTACTGTACATTTTATTAGATTAAATCATCTGATTACACTATACACAAGTATTGCACAAATCAATTTAATCCCAAGTATCAATACTTTAATTTCAGTATAATCCGAACATAGTCATCCTACATGAGACATAAACTATTAATCACATATAAGTAATCAACCAATTCCCAAGATCTTATTTATTTACTCAAAACTCATACGATATCAAATAATCAAATTTTTCGAAAATACATATAGTAGTACACAAAATAGAAAACTAGTAAATAATTTGATTCCATAAGGTCATACGATAGCACACTTATAATATATAATTGCATAAGCACGTAGTTGGCACACATTAATTCGAAATAATTTCCTAACGGGATTCTAAAGATGATGGACATTGAAAATTACCTTGATTGTGCGTAAAAATTCAAGGTAATTAACTCCGGAATGATCACCTAGTAGCCTGGCCTCCGTCTACAAATAAACAAATAAATAGCCTAAATTAGATAATTGTACGACTAACGGAAAAAAGAATTGAGCGTAAAATTGATTGTACCACCCATAGTCTAATCACCCCAAAAATAGACAACTAGATGAACTAATTGATGAGTAAAACGTGAGATATTATATCATCATCATCATAATCACCTACCAAACTTTCGAACCCAAGAGCCAGAACATCAAACACAAAGTCTAATTAAGCGGACCAAGGAGAAGATCGATAAGTAACGTAATTAAATAAAGTAGATAGTAATGATCAATTATCAAACCCAACAATGAGGAAAGTGACGAGTTGCTTTCCAAAGTCGGTATTTCGGCTTCGAAACTTTTGTTTTTTTTTTTTGAAATCGTAATGACAGTATTAGAAAGATGAAACATATATTTATAAATCAATCTTGAGAGTCTAGAAAGTTCATGGGATAGGATCAAAATTTTAACTGATTTTGTTATCAGCCTTTATCCACCTTTGCCAATTTTTTTCCAGTATGCAAAATCAGCTTTTGTAAATTATCCAAAGTCAATTTTTTTTTTAAATACTAAACCGAAAATATTAAATAATTAATATATATATATATTTTAAAATAATAAATTTAAAAGATTATACTAGCAAAGGAAATTTTGGGGTATTACATCTACTCCCCCTTAAAACGAAAGTTCGTCCTCGAACTTTAAAGTTAGCTTTTAAATAAGGCTCACACTATGACCCAAGGTAAGTTAGTATTACATTCTACCCCCGTTAATAGTTTCGACCTCGAAACTCAGCGTACCTGCTCAAAAAGTTCTAGGTAGCGCTTTTTCATGTCATGTTCAGCTTCCCAAGTTGCTTCTTCAAAATTCTGATTAGACCATAGGACTTTAACTAACTTTACCGCCTTATTTCGAGTACTTCTCGTTTTGGTGTCGAGAATTTTCACAGAGTGTTCTTCGAAAGTTAAGGTCTCATCTAGCTCAATAGTCTCGGGTTGGATAACATGGGTAGGGTCATGAACATACTTTCGGAGTTGGGAAACATGAAAAACATTGTGAACATTGGCTAACTCCATGGGTAAGGCTAGTTGATATGCTACCTCTCCAACTCTCTTCAATACTTCATACGGGCCAATGTATCTAGGACTCAACTTCCCTTTTCTACCAAACTGCATGACTCCCTTGGTAGGTGAAACCTTAAGTAAAGCCTTTTCCCCGACTTTAAATTCCACTATTCTCCTATTCTGGTCTGCATATGACTTTTTTCGATCCTGAGCTGCCTTCATGTTTGCCTGGATAAGCCTAACTTGCTTTGTTGTTTCTTCGATCATTTTTGGCCCCAATGTTAAAGACTCAGTGATATCGCTCCAACATAAGGGACTCCTACATTTTCTCCCATACAACGCTTCATAAGGCGCCATTCCTATACTCGCATGATGGATATTATTGTATGAAAATTAGATCATAGGTAATCTTTCGTCCCATGCTCCACCAAAGTCCATCACACAAGCTCTCAACATTTCCTCCAAGGTCTGAATTGTTCTTTATGTCTGTCCATCTGTAGCAGGGTGAAACGCTGTGCTAAACTTCAAGATAGTGCCAAATGCTTGCTAAAACATTTCCCATAACTTTGATAAAAATCTTGGATCTCTGTCTGAAATAATATCTTTAGAAACTCCATGTAGCCTCACAATTTCCTTCACATAGGCAGCTGCCAACTGATTCACATTCCAAGTATCCTTTATTGCTATGAATCTTGCTGTTTTCGTTAAACGATCAACTATGACCCAAATAGCATTCTTTGTTGCCCTTGTAAGTGGTAATCCCATCACAAAATCCATAGAGATAGACTCCCACTTCCATCCTGGCACATCAAACGATTGCAGCTTCCCTCCAGGTCTCATATGTTGTATCTTCACTTTCTGACATGTAAGGCACCTTGCCACAAACTCGGCTACTTCACGCTTCATGTTTGGCCACCAAAAATGTTTCATAAGATCCTTATAGAGCTTATCTCCTCCTGGGTGTACAGAGTACGGGGTGTTGTGAGATTCTTCTAAAATCTTCCTTTTGAGATCTTCATTTTTAGGAATACACCATCTCCCTTTGTATTTCACTGTTCCACTATCATCTACATCAAACTCAGTTGTCGCTCCTTCTTCTTTCATCTTCCTCACCTTGGTCAACCACTCATCTAACATTTGCTTCTCACGAATCTCATCATATATGGATGGTTTGACTGACATTGCATTCAACTGAGCATTCACCTGACCATACTCTACAACCTACAAGTTCAACTTCCTAAATTCTTCACAAAGTTCCTTGGCTAAAATCATCAAGTTCACTATATGACTTGTCTTCCTACTCAAAGCATCAGCTACCTTGTTCGCCTTTCCTTCGTGATACAGAATGTCTGGATTGTAATCGGTTAGCACCTCAAGCCATCTCCTTTGCCTCATGTTCGAATGAGTCTGTGTGAATATGTATTTAAGACTCTTATGGTCCGTATACACCTTACATCTCACACCATACAAGTAGTGTCTCCAGATCTTAAGAGCAAACACTACCGCTCCTAGCTCCAAATCATGAGTAGGGTAATTCTGTTCATGTTGCTTGAGCTTCCTTGATGCATAAGCTACAACCTTCCCATGTTGCATAAGTACACACCCAAAGCCATTCTTAGATGCGTCACTATAGATTTCAAACCCCTCAGTCCCTGATGGTAAGGTTAAGACTGGTGTTGAGGTGAGTCTTCGCTTCAATTCTTGAAAAGATTGCTCACACCTCTCATCCCACTGAAACTTAGTAGCTTTCTTCATCAAATTTGTTAAGGGTTGAGCTATCCTCGAAAAGTCTTGTACGAATCTCCTATAGTATCCAGCAAGCCCTAAGAAACCTCTCACTTCGGTCACACTTTTGGGTCTTGGCCAATCAGAAACTGCTCGAATCTTAGATGGGTCCACCGCAACTCCTTCCTTTGAGATCACATGGCCTAGAAATGCTACCTTCTCTAGCCAAAATTCACATTTTGTAAATTTGGCATATAACTTCTTCTCTCTAAGAATCTCCAACACTTTTCTTAGATGTTCTTCGTGCTCTTCTCTATCCCTCGAGTACACCAAAATATCATCTATGAACACCACCACAAATTTATCCAAATATGGCTGAAAAGTTCTATTCATGAGATCCATAAAAGCTGTCGGCGCATTAGTGAGTCAAAAAGGCATAAGAGTGAACTCATAATGTCCGTATCTTGTGCGAAATGTTGTCTTTGGTATATCTTCCTCAGCAATCCGCAACTGGTGGTATCCTGTCCTCAAGTCAATTTTTGGGAATATCCCAGCACCTTTAAGCTGATCAAACAAGTCCTCGATCTTAGGCAATGGATATTTGTTCTTTATAGTGACATTATTCAACTCTCGGTAGTCAATACACAACCTTAAGGATCCGTCCTTCTTTCTCACAAACAAAACCGATGCTCCCCAAGGTGAAACACTTGGCCTTATATAACCCTTCTCCAGCAACTCCTCCAACTGTACCTTCAACTCTTTCATCTCTGCTGGTGCCATTCTATATGGTTCTTTAGAAATAGCTCCAGTCCCAGGCATTAAGTCTATTTTGAAATCCATCTCCCTAACCGGCGGCATCCCTGGAATTTCATCTGGAAACACATCTTGGAATTCTCTCACCACTGGGATGTTCTCTATGGATTTTTCTTCTACACTCACATCTTGCACATGGCATAAATAAATAGGGTAGCCTTTTCGGATATAAGAATGAAAAGTCATGGCTGACACAATATTGATCCCTGGTTTTAACACAACCCCCTGGTAAGAGATTTTATTCCCCCTTGGCCCCCTAAGAGACACCTTTTGGGTATGACACTCAATTCTAGCCTTATATTTACTAAGCCAATCCATCCCCAAAATCACATAAAGTCAGTTAGGTCAAACTGAATAAGGTTTGCAAGCAACTCAGTTCCAGCAATGTTAACTGGAATGTCTTGGTATATGGATCTACAAGGAACTACCTCCCCTGAAGGAATTGTTATGTTGGTTTGACACAAAGATGAAGGTTTTAAAGCATGTTTATTCACGAAAGAAATGGCGACAAAAGAATGAGATGCCCCAGAATAAAAAAGTAAATAAGCAGGTTTTGAGTTCACGAGAAAAGTACCCGTCACAACGTCGGCATTAGAGTCAATCTCGCTCTGGTTCATGACATAGATTCTTCCATTACTGGTCCTACCATTGCCATTGTGGTTGCTTCCTCCGCCATTGTTGTTGCTTTGGCCATTCCCTCCTAGAGCATTGCCATTTTGGCCCTGAGAATTGTTGTTGTTGAAGCGGTTGTTGTAGTTTGAGTTCCTCCCATAACCACCTCCCTTATTGCCATTGTTGTTACCTTGCCCATTCTGAGCTTGATTATTGCCATTCTGCTTCTTTGGGCACTCAAATTTCTTGTGACCAACCTCCCCACATTCAAAGCAAGTAAGAAAATCTCCATTGCAGTTGCATCCTGGATGGCTCTTGTCACATTTACGGCATAGTCGGTTGCGAGATCCTTGCTGATTCTGTTGCCCCTGGCCTCGGTGATTATTTCTTTGATTGTTGTTGTTACGGCCTCCCTGTTGACCATTTCCACCATTCCCATTGCTATTACCCCCTAGGCGTGGTCTCTTGTCATAACCTTGAGGGTTCGATGAACTCTCACCATTCCCTTTCCTCTTATGTCTATCCTTGACCTCCTGCTCACGTTTCAAAATCCTCTCAATATTACAAGCTCTATCATAGGCCTCTTTATAAGTAGCAGCAGTACCAGCCCCGATCACCTTCTTTTGGATCCTAAAATTCAGTCCATCTTCAAACTTATGAGCCTTGGATCTCTCATCAGGCACTACATTAGGACAAAACATTGCGTACTTATTAAATTTCTCAGCATACTCCTGCACACTCATACCAGCTGTTTGGTTAAACCTACTAAACTCACTGTATTTCTGCCTCTTGATATGCTCAGGAAAGAAACGGTCCCTGATTGTTGTCTTAAAAGCCTCCCAGTTAAAATTCTGTTGAGCTCTTATGGTGGCTCCTTCATTTTCCCACCAAATATCAGCAGCCTCACGTAAATAGAATGTGGCTTGATCCACCTTCTGAGCATCAGGGGTACCAGCAGCAGTGAAAATCTTGTCAAAGTCACGTACCCAGTTCTCAACCAACATGGGATCTTCCTTCCCCATAAATAGCGGAGGTTTCAATGTAGCAAGTTTCTTAGCCATAGCAGCTTGAGGGTCGTTGTCATTATTGTTGTGGTTGTTTTTGTTATTCAGCTGGTTTTGCAACAACATTCCAAGGTTCTGGTTCATTTGCTCAAGAGCTCTTAACCTAGCAGCAAGTTGTTCAGGAGTCTCAGCCATTTGTGCAATTCTTCTCCAACGAGACCTGGTGTAAACGTGGTAATTTTGCATACACAATCTGCACAATTTCAACACTAGTGTTACCACCATACACATTTTAACACGACTTATTTAGATCGTGTGAATTGCAATTAAATCATCAACCACGACATGCTTTCATGTAACACATCAGCACATATAGAGACAAGAATTAAGCGATTTATTAAATCTCATAGCATTCAAAGAGTCGGCCAAATTCCAGACCAAATAATGCATCATCTTAGCATTAGACTATAGATTCGCGCATTGCTTTGTGATTTCACTATCACCCGACCAAGTCAATACTAGTCTTGACTAAAGTAAGCATAAGAAAATAAGAGCTTTGTCCTATATAAATACAATAGATAGAAAAAAAAATGAATTGATTTTTATTAATAATCATAAAATAGCAAGGTATAAATATATTAATCAAAATTATTTTATTGCAAAACCAGAAGAGAATGAAACTCGTCTTTGAAATAAAATACTAGTACTAAATAGCTCAATAAACTACTAGTTACAAATAAACCAAAACTATAGTTTCTAGTCATAAGAAACTAGCTTTTATTTGTAAAACTAATATATAAAAATTTTAACCAAATAAACTAAACGTAGCTTTAAAAAAATAAATGGATAATTCAATTACTATTTTCCCCTTGACTCTCACGAGCTTCACTTTCCTGGGGCTCATCCTCCTCCTCATCATCCAGGTTATAGTCAAAGTCTCACTTGGCTTCCATCATTGCCTTCTCAAGGTAGTCCACAGTAGGGATCCATTGTTCATCATAATAATACTTATCATTCGGTTTACCATTAATGTATAAGTCAACATACTTCTTTGTAAGTTGAGCATATGGTCCCTTCCCAATTAACGTGTGTAGAAGGATTTGAGATCGCCTCTCTGGAGTGAGAAAATTAGATTGGCCCCCAAGTATATTGTAATGAAAGTGCTCAATGCCGAGATTTAAGCGGTGCACGTAATGTCGAATA